TCGTGTTGCATCCAATCAAGTTACTCCACACATTTAAAATAGTCGTGTTGCATCCCATCAAGTGATTCCACACATTTAAAATAGTCGTGTTGCATCCCATCAAGTGACTCCACACATTTAAAATAGTCGTGTTGCATCCAATCAAGTGACTCCACACATTTAAAATAGTCGTGCTGCATCCCATCATGTGACTCCACACATTTAAGATAGTCGTGCTGCATCCCATCAAGTGACTCCACACATTTAAAATAGTCGTGTTGCATCCCATCATGTGATTCTACACATTTAAATAGTCGTGTTGCATCCCATCATGTGACTCCACACATTTAAAATAGTTTAAATGTGTGGAGTCACTTGATGGGATGCAACACGACTATTTTAAATGTGTGGAGTCACATGATGGGATGCAACACGGATGCCTGAAAACAATTCTTTCAAACAAATAATTCAGGCTACCTATGGTTTTAATCATGCAGCATCGGTATTCTTGCTGATCATGACCACACTTTGCATTGAAGAAAACTTTCATGAACAGTGAAGAGTCAGCTTCATCAAGTATTATTTTTCGACGTAGGCTTTGGATGTTTTATTTTTATTTTAAAGTTTAGTGAATGGGATGGTGTATACGGATCAATATATCACTTCTTGTTGTTTTTTTTTATTTATATGTATCTGTTCAATATAAAAATAATTAGAATTGTATACCACGTGATAAACCACCAGATACCCAATCTGGTGGAAATTAAATTGAGTGGCAATTGATATGGTTTTGCTTTATCATAGTTGAATATCATAAATTCAAGTTGTTCCTAATCTATTTTGTGCACTGTAATACATTAGAGAGTTAATACAGTTGCTTCTAAATTAACAGACACATTCATTTGTTTCAAAGTAAAATGGTAGAACAAGAAGGTCTTACCTTAAATGTAGAAAAAGAAAGTCTTACCTTAAATGGTAGAACAATAAGGTCTTACTTTAAATGGTAGAACAATAGGGTCTTACCTTAAATAGTAAAACAATAGGGTCTTACCTTAAATATAGAACAATAAGGTCTTACCTTAAATGTAGAACAAGAAGGTCTTACCTTCAATGGTAGAATAATGAGGTCTTACCTTAAATATATAACAAGAATGTCTTACATTAAATAGTAGAACAAGAAGGTCTTACTTTAAATGATAGAACAATAAGGTCTTACCTTAAATGGTAGAATAATAAGGTATTACCTTAAATATAGAACAAGAAAGTCTTACTTTAAATGGCAGAACAATAGTGTCTTACTTTAAATGGTAGAACAATAGGGTCTTACTTTAAATGGTAGAACAATAGGGTCTTACTTTAAATGGTAGAACAATAAGGTCTTACCTTAAATGTAGAACAAGAAGGTCTTACCTTAAATGGCCATTTAAGGTAAGACCTTATTGTTCTATAGAATAATAAGGTCTTACCTTAAATATAGAACAATAAGGTCTTACCTTAAATGGTAGAACAATAAGGTCTTACCTTAAATATAGAACAATAAGGTCTTACTTTAAATGGTAGAACAATAAGGTCTTACCTTAAATGGTAGAACAATAAGGTCTTACCTTAAATGGTAGAATAATAAGGTCTTACCTTAAATATAGAACAATAAGGTCTTACCTTAAATAGTAGAAGAATAGGGTCTTACTTTAAATAGTAGAACAAGAGGGTCTTACTTTAAATAGTAGAAGAATAGGATCTTACTTTAAATAGTAGAACAATAGGGTCTTACCTAAATGGTAGAACAAGTGGGTCTTACTTTAAATAGATCTTACTTTGGACTCTTATTGTTTTTGATTGGGTGGCTTCTCCTAATGCGTTTCTGGCTGTGACTGTGAAATCACCACTATCTTCAGGAAACACATACAATATATCCAAAGCCACATAGCCGAAATCAAAGTAGGTTTTGAATCGGTGGCCTATAGAATTGAAAATTACATCTTTCAACCTTCACGTTATACACACACACACGCACATCATTACTCTAATGAATAAATCACCATGGAAATACATTATATTGTGTTTTATTTTTGTCATTACACTACAATCAATTCTGGAAATCCATTCTAAGTCTTTTTTAATTTCTGTGTATTTTACCCCAAACAGCTCAGCTACAATACTACAAAATAAAATAATAATTATGTTCTGAATTTAAGTTGAAACTATGAATTAAAAAATACTTCCTATTCAACTGATAATGTGGAACATCATAAACTTAACAAAACAATCCAGAAGTTAATCACCAGGCTTATAGGCTTAGGGACGGCAGGTCACATTATTTTGTCTGTTGCACCAGTTTTTAAATATATGTTATTATTCCGTAATGAAACGTTTGTTGACTATTCAATGTAATTATGGGTTACATGTTTAGCCGATAGGCGTCTTTTCAAGGTATTTTGGAAGGCAACAGTAATGCTAATGTAATAAAAAAGTATACTAACTTTTAAAAAAATAGTAAACAACATGAGAATGAGTGTTAATGTCATTAACGTGATTCAAGAGTCAATATAATATTAATATTTTTGAGTCAAAACTTAGTCAAGAGTCAATTCAGTTGTAAATAGAATGCTGCTAATATTTTATTGTTCTTATATCGCTAAATATTAGGCCTAATATTCTGAAAAAACACGCTTCTAGAAGGTTATGTGAACTTTATATTTCAAAAGGAGGTTTAGTCGAGAGTTGCAATTACTAAGACATAAATGAAATTTTCATCTTTAATTTCAAATAACAATGCTAGGTAAGAATTTACAATATGTTTCAAGCTTAAAATGAAAAGGTTTAATTTTCTTTATGATCTCACTGAACTTGTTTTGTCCAAGTTATGAGCCATTTAAATTGAGTATTAGTTTAATGCATCTGCCTCTTTACAAAACTATTTGTTGGCTGTTATCGAACCCTGCACTGGACGTTATAAACCCTCAAGCTTACAGTCTTAAAGTTTGTTTCCCGCAAAGCTACACAAGGGCTATCTGCACTTAGCCGTCCCAGACTTTTTGAATACTCTTCTCTGACCGAATAGTGATTTTACCGTCACTCTTATAACGCACCCACGGCCTCAAAGTGCGGGGCGTGCGTTTGCGACAACGGGACCAGAATTATATACCCTCGGATTCATAATTTATGTACGCTAACCACTAGGCCACGCCTTAAAGCATGTGACTCACTATAAATTCCAAAATCAAACATTTAAAGCCCAATACTTGACAGTATTCACAAGTGTACTTGTGAGAGTAGAATACGAGATTCCCCAGTTATTTAGGAGAACTTCATATTTAAAACTATCTTCAGAAACACGAACGCGAAAATGAGACGAAAGGGATTTTAACTGAGACCGAGAAGGACGTGTTCTTTAAAAGAAATAAAATTTAGCAAAACAAACACAAAATTTTGTGGCGTTTTAGTTGGAAAATGTTATTAGCTATGATTTCACTATAGATGACACCTTACACATGTGTACAGTTGATGGTTTACCAAATGTTATTAGCTATGATTTCACTATAGATGACACCTTATACATGTGTACAGTTGATGGTTTACTAAATGTTATTAGCTATGATTTCACTATAGATGACACCTTATACATGTGTACAGTTAATGGTTTACTAAATGTTATTAGCTATGATTTCACTATAGATGACACCTTATACATGTCTACAGTTGATGGTTTACTAAATTTTTCATCTATAGTGAAATCATAGCTAATCATGTATAAGGTGTTAGTAAACCATCAACTGTACACTTGAAGAGTGGAATGTGTGATAGAAATGTGAGCTTCAAAACTGATACCAACCAAAAATAGAATGAAGAAATAAAGTATTATGAAAGACTTAGTGATTGACCTGTGTGTATATATATATTAAGCTGTTAGTAGAGGTGTTCAAGTGAACCACCAAAGAGGTGCGCAACATACGGCCCGCGGGCCAAATTTGGTTATTTTGTACACGAAATTATAGTGCCCAAAGTTGAAAGTTTTTTTTTATCAATTTGATGAAAACATTTTGTCTGTTATTAAATTTAAGAGTTTCTGCTTCACAACTTAATAGAGATTTTATGAAATTGTCTTTAGGGTTAGTAGAAAACGCAAAGGGCTCAAAACATTTTCGGAGGAAGAAATATTATGGTCCACTAAGTCTAAATTGACCCAGAGAAAATATTGAGTTGTACACCTCTGATTAGTTCTTGGTGGCCATCTTAATGCCGCGAATGGGGCTCAACGTGAAGCTGACGCAATTTAGGACGTGACACGAAACACAAGTACTTTTGTATCGAATGGACGGATCGTATGGTACGACCCAAAATAATGGAAGGTGGTGGCCCACGCCCACATTAATATCATTATTTATTAAGCCCTGGTACCTTTACTGGCTTTATGAGTGTGGGCACTTGTACATTTACGTAACTTACCAGTTGTAAGGGGGCGTCCATTAAAATACCATTCGACAGTCATGCTAGGATCCCCAATCGGCTCCAATCGGGTTTCAAAGTGAGCGCTCTGCCCCTCCACCAGGAGGTCCTTGCCCACAAGAGGCTCGGTGAACTTTGGTCGCTGGGTGACAGTAGTCTCCTCGTACGTTTCTCGTTGGAAGCGAGAACTGTCTTCGAGATGCTGTATTTTCTCCAGGCCTTCAGGGTATTGGCTCTCCAAAACTACGTCCTGTTTGGCTGGAAACAACCGTGGTTACACGTTAAAAACTGCAAATACGTGTTATGTGCAAATATTTAAAATTTGTTTTAGAATACAAAAATATTTTTTTCTATGACACTAACTCACATAATCTAATTATACTTTAAATAAATACAGAATGTAGAATTTTGCTCCAATATAATCTATATAAATATAATAGTACTGTATGTTGTATGTCCATGTAACTACTTCGCAGGGTGTGGGTGGAACTTCACCAAAAATTGGTATGGAGGTTTATTAGGTCAATGCGGTGGTACATACAAATTTTCAATTTTGCGTTTTGGCTATTTTTACCACTGTTTCTCCTCCTATGGATGGATCTTGCAAATTTGGTATGGAGGTTTATAAATGAATATAAATTTTCAGTTTTGCGGTTTTTATGGGCGTTTTTTTTTAACCACTACTTCGCCCCCTGTTGATGGATTTTTGTTTGTTGGGTCCATGCAGAGATAAATGCAAAGTTGCGGTTTTATGGGCATTTTTTTTACAAGTACATATAAGGGAAGCAGCTTTTCATGTCCTAAGATAACGTTTCATTAATCATGAATTTACATAACGTCCGTCCAGGGGAGGACGGGTACTCCAGCTAGTTTTAAATAAAGAACTTTGTAGCATGTAGAAAATATGTTTCATGTTTCGGGTCCTTCCTAGAGAAAAAGTTTGTTTGTTTGTTTGTTTTTAATTAAGCACAAAGCCACACAATGGGCTATCTGTGCTATGCCCACCACGGATATCGAAACCCGGATTCTATCATTGTAAGTCCGCAGACATACCGTTGTGCCACTGGGGGGACAGAGAAAAAGTGTATCTAGGTTTTATTTTTCTACATAGGGGTATGTCTTTGTATATTATGAATATTGATTTGATGTATCTTTTTTTCTAAGTCCTGTGCCTGATCATTTGGAAGTTCTAAATTAGAATTATATTGAACATAGGTATTAAAAACTGCCACAACCAGAAATGGTAAAAAAAAAAAGAAATATATATCAAAAACTCGAAAGGTATTAGAACACGTTTGATGAAACTTTAAACTCGGCCATATGTAAAAAATATATGAAAATATGTTTTCAGTATACATCAATCTATTGTAAAACCTACAATGATTTTAGATATGCTGATCAGTAAGTCACGTGACAACCGCAGCCAATGTAAAGTTGCGATGGAATGTCATGTATCAGAAGTACATTTTTAGATTGTCATTTTGTACGTGGTGTGGAAGAATATGTAGTAGCCCTTTCCGACGTAAAATATTTATACACTCAGATTATAAATACGTGTTGAAGTTAGGGTATCTCTGTTGCTTAATGGCATTGGAAAATATGAATCAACTTCAGGCACCAAACCATTCAGGAAAAGACCTGCAATAAGTCGTACCCCAGCAGTCTTGAGCAAAGTGTGGCATCTTGGAAGAAATGAGAATCAACGAATACACACAGTACACAGTATAATCAAGGAGGATCTCCGTCTAGAAAACCGGCACAAGTCACGGGTTTCTTCCGTAGACAATGAAACTGGAATTCGTGTTATTTCACACAAAGATATACAAGTGAAGTCGCCCATAGATTTCTGTGTGATCGAACTGTTGAAACGGTTGATGGGAAACCGTCGTCCTCTTATACTAGATTTATTAGGAAAAACAAGCAGGGAGGAGTGGTGTACGTTAGGCATGACAGCCTTACGACTGAGCCTTTTGCAATGGACTATGTTGCAGAGATACTGTCACGATGCACAATCGTCAGATAGAGTATGACTGGAAATGGACTGTAACGATGTGGCGAGACTTCTAAATCGTTTTAATATAGCACACTCAACCTCTATAAATAAGTTTATGTTAAAGCACAAGCTACACAACAGGATATCTGTGCTGTGACCATCATGAGTATCGAAACCCGAATTTTAACGTTATGAGCATTCAAACTTCAACCTGTTAGATACATCCCTCTGCTAAGTACTTCAAATCGATATGCTACTTCATACTCCTAGCTACTTCAAATATTCCAGATCAGTTGACAGAGCAGTGATATCAAAACATTGAACTGAGTTGTAAGTCCCAAACAAATCCAAGTCAAAACTACTTCAGAATAAATTCTTCCATTTCGTTTGTTTGTTTATTTACAACATATAGAAATGTATATAATACTTGGAACTGCATCTTAGAATCTATTTACAAGTAATAGTTAAACAATGTTTTTAGTATATATATATCTATATACACTAACACTATATTAATATATAAAATATATACTTGTCCAAATGATTTTATAACAAACTTAAGGTGAGCAGGTATTATAAGACATTCTAAAGCAACTTCACCAACAAATTAAATTAAACTTTTAGAACAGGTTGGACGAAATAGAATTCCCAACAAACCAAATATATTTTTGTATTCCAATAATGATGGTAAAACTGACAAAAACTAAAGTCTAGCGGGTAAAAATTGACCTTGGATCACTCTGTACATAGCTCAGAAATCATCTTGTTATTGTAACATAAAATATTACTAAGTCTCATTTGTATCATGTTTTCTTTAATACATGTTCAAATAAGTAAGTTATCTAAATTTAAGATCTATTTTTACTGAAAGTTTAAGTAGCATTGTACATCTTCGGTTTTCAAACCACACTGTAACACAACACTAAACACCCATACAACACTGTAACACAACAATGAACAACCTATACAATACTGTAACACAACACTAAACAACCTATGCAATACTGTAACACAATACTAAACAACCCACACAATACTGTAACACAATACTAAACAACCCATACAATACTGTAACACAACACTAAACAACCCATACAACACTGTAACACAACACTAAACAACCTATACAACACTGTAACACAACAATGAACAACCTATACAACACTGTAACACAACACTAAACAACCTATACAATACTGCAACACAACACTAAACAACCTATACAATACTGTAACACAACACTAAACAACCCATACAACACTGTAACACAACACTGAACAACCCATAAAACAATGTAACACAACACTGAACAACCCATACAACACTGTAACACTACATTGAACAACCTATACAAAACTGTAACACCAGATTGAACAACTTACACTACATTGAACAACTTACACTGTAACACTACACTGAAGAACTTACACTACATTGTAACACAACACTGAACAACTAACACCACAGTGTAGCACTACATTGAACAACTTACATGACACTGCAAAACTACATAGAAAACTTACACCACACTGTAACACTACATAGAACAAATTACACCACACTGTAACACTACATAGAACAAATTACACCACACTGTAACACTACATAGAACAAATTACACCACACTGTAACACTACATTGAACAACTTACGCCACTTTGTAACACTACATTAAACAACTTACGCCACATTGTAACACTACATTAAACAACTTACGCCACATTGTAACACTACATTAAACAACTTACACTACATTAAACAATTTATACCGCATTGTAACACTACACTGAACAACTTACACCACATTGTAACACTACACTGAACAACTTACACCACATTGTAACACTACACTGAACAACTTACACCACATTGTAACACTACACTGAACAACTTACACCACATTGTAACACTACACTGAACAACTTACACCACATTGTAACACTACACTGAACAACTTACACCACATTGTAACACTACACTGAACAACTTATACCACATTGTAACACTACATTAAACAACTTACACTACATTGTAACACTACATTAAACAATTTATACCACATTGTAACACTACACTGAACAACTTACACCACATTGTAACACTACATTGAACAACTTACACCACATTGTAACACTCTACTGAACAACTTACACCACATTGTAACACTACACTGAACAACTTACACCACATTGTAACACTTACTTTGGCAAGTTAACGTTGCTGAAGATTTTGCTGTTCCAACACTGTTGATTGCCACACAAGTGTAAGTACCCGAATCCCGTGTGTCAACACCACGAATGGTCAGAGAAACATAACCAAAATTGAAGAAAATTGTCGTTCTATAGCCTGTAAATAAATAAAGAAATAATTGTTGAATCGTTGTGAACTTAAGTACACTGATGGGATTATTATTACAATTAGATAATATTAAAGCAAATGTTATTTGATGGGTTCGTAGCCGAAAGTAACAAAATATTAATCATCATGATACTTAACCCACCTATAAAAAAAACGTTATTTCTCAGTCAAAACTCTATCTTTGTATAAATAAATTTTTCCTATACCTTTATGCTGCGATTTACACTGACAGGCCTCCATGTTCTAACGCTGAAAAATTCACAATGGACTATCTGTCTAGAAAACCCAAGATCAAATCTCGGCCACTATCTATACAGTAATATTCCTTCTCGCCCACCAGTGGCACAGCGGTATGTCTGCGGACTTACAACGCTAGAATCCGGGTTTCGATACCCGTGGTGGGCAGAGCACAGATAGCCCATTATGTAGCTTTGTGCTTAATTATAAAACAATATTCCTTCTCAGAACTTCCCTGAGGAGGGCAGCAGGTTATAAAGTAATTAGTGATAAAAAATAAGTGAAATATATTTTTTTCATTAGAACTTTCTTGTAAACAGACATTCAAAAAGCCCTTACTAGCTTCCAGAGGTTTTCCATCTTTCAGCCACTCAACTCGCATGTTGGAGTCTCCAGTTGGTTCCACACGAGCTTCAAATCGTGCTATTTTCCCCTCTTGGATGTCCACTACATCTCTAAGAGGTGTTCGGAACACTGGCGCCGTCTGGGGCACAGCTTCTTCCACCACTACCTGTTGGCGCTGTTGCTGCTGCCAGGCTTCGAGTTCTTGAATTTTTTCTTGGTACCGTTGTTGTTCTGGATATCCCAGATCATAAACAACCTCTCCCATAGCTGCACAGAAAGAGACATTACTCTTCTGTAAGGCTGTAATCTTTTATATTTTATTAACTTAATAAAAATGAAATAATAAACACATTTAGAGGAGAAACAATTTTATCGTGAGTAAGATAAATAGTCTGAGTATCTCTTCTTTTGTCAGCATAATAATTAGAATATCCGTTTAACAGTCTTGGTCCACAATTCAGCAGGAGTTCTAGAAATTTCAATTGGGGTGGGGGGGGTGGCATAGACGTCTAATACATAGGGCATAAAAGGCATTTGCCCCCTATTTCCAATTAGCTTACATACACTATTATTAATAATTATGTTAGATTGGCTTAAATTTTTTGCCCCCGCCAACTTTCCGACAAAGTTAGGCAGTCATGAGAGGAGGGGGACGATTTTAATATACGTTATTCACTGTAGACACACCCTTACCTCGAACATTTTACACACAAAACACTAACTTACAAACATGTCTGACATTCATAACATCTCACAGCTATTTACAAACTAAAAATACACCACGGGCATTAGAAATTTGAATCATCCTTGCTTCGAAGATCATGGCGCCTTGGAAGAGAAAAACTACAAAGTTAAAATAACAAGAGATTAGGAGCTAGTGTTATGTGTCAGCTGTAATAGTTCGCCTTAATTAGAGGGAAAACAATACTTGGCGGAAAATGCGAGAGGGATAGGTGCCCCCCACCCGTGATATCAGTTAAAAACTCGGTGCGGAAAACGTGCATTCTTCTTTTCAATACTGATCAGGATTGAACGAAAGAAAATAAAACTTACTCTTTACTTTTAGCGTTGCTGATGAAAATGCTTCTCCTTTCTGGTTAATTGCTTTGCACATGTAAACTCCAGAGTCCTCAGCTCGAAGGTACTTAATATGTAACGCCACGTATCCAAAACTAAAAACAGTACTCATTCGAGTGCCTATGATAAATTTTAATAGAGAAATATATTACAATTTTTGTAATTGTACAACTAATTATATATATATGGAGAAGAAGGGCGATGACAATAATACACTATTCATATTATTTTAATTATTTCATAAGTTTGTGGAAGTGATATTATCAAGTCAATAGTGATCTATGAAACACAATTTTTGTTGTTTTTTAGATAAAGAAACAATCAAACGAAGACGGGACAACTACGTTGTAAAGCATGAATTACTACACTATTTTTAATTCACAGGACCTGACACGTTTCTCCAGCCTCTTCTTGCCTTCTTCATTCAGAACCAACCTCGTCAATAGTAAAGCTAATTAAGTATACTTTTCTTATGTTTCTATTTATGAAGCTTAGAGTGCATTGTTTCATCAATTGGGTATCTTCGCTGTTAACGACATAATCGGCCGTAATCCCAATAACAGCTCAGGTGGTTCAGTAACCTTAAGAGATTTGGGTTCTTCCTAAATACATATTTTAAGCTAAAATGCAAAACAATCTTTATAATGAAAAGATTAATAATAAAGAATAAATTAAAAGTAATTATATTCTATGCTAATTAGTATAACCAATACTGTTAATGAAAGTAGCATTAACAAACAATCTTTGACTCAACGACAGCAGAAATAGTAGCGACTGGCATTTAGTTTTTTTTTTCTGAAAATCTACAGGAATATCCATTATTTTATGAGAAATTCAAAATTCTATACCATTCTATAACTGGATAACATCCAGAGAAGTTATGATTGCTTTTTGTCAGTAGAGTTGGGTGTTTTTTTTTTTACCCTAATTCAGACAGTGGTCATGGCACTATTGTAAAACATTATCTATGGAACGTTCACCATTACCAAACTCGTTGTGAAACTTGTGAGGAACTTCTGAAACAACAAGTCACAATCTCTGAGGGTTTGTTCTTGTCAAGATGAAAACTAGATCAGATTCAAAGCTAATCTGGAAATGTAAAGTAGCAAAATGTCCGAGGCGTTACAAGAGTAGCAAGTATGGATGCAATCACAATGGTAGAACAGTCACCTAAAAGGTTAGCCATAAGAGAGGTCAGAGGTGCTGTCAAGTGTTTAAAGAAAATTACGTCTGTGTACAGGAGCGGTAAACTTATGGATGTATCCAACGACTTGCCCTCCAATGGGGATGAGAGCAGAAAAAAGATAACGATTCAAGATCAGGTAAGGAATGGAGAATACGAAGACTTTTTCTGAGCGGAGTGCAAGAATGTTACAAGGATAGGAGAAGAGATGAGTAGTAAAGTAACGACGAAATGGCATTACCATATAGCGTGCAGATGGTTCATTATGGTAGGATAGAAACACCTTAACGAAATGGCATTACCATATAGCGTGCAGATGGTTCATTATGGTAGGATAGAAACACCTTAACGAAATGGCATTACCATATAGCGTGCAGATGGTTCATTATGGTAGGATAGAAACACCTTAACGAAATGGCATTACCATATAGCGTGCAGATTGGTTCATTATGGTAGGATAGAAACACCTTAACGAAATGGCATTACCATATAGCGTGCAGATGGTTCATTATGGTAGGATAGAAACACCTTAACGAAATGGCATTACCATATAGCGTGCAGATGGTTCATTATGGTAGGATAGAAACACCTTAACGACTATTCAGATCAAAGAAAACAAAATGATTGATGGATCATAACCTACACAGCTTACGGACCTAATGGGTACTCCACCACCTACCAAAATAGTCATATTTTGTGCCGTTAAATAAATAATACTGATACTACTTTAAATAGTTTGTAAGTAACAGTACGGAAGAGTTATGTCTATTAAGACTTGATGCCCAACAGAGGTCAAAGGTCACCACTTCAACATCCCTAGTGTTAGTCAGGCTACGGTAGATATGCAGTTGAAGCAAATCATATTTTAACTTAATGTAAGCTGGAAGCGTGTTTTACTTTCTCTTCTATTTTAGGTTAGTATTAGTGTGTATTTATACTAGGATACCACCATAAAAAGTCTTGGTTGAAACGCTATTTACATCATTCATGTATCAAATATCTAAGTTTAACTAAGAGTTGGTGTGTTATAACCTATTCGGCTTTGGTAGTGTGCGAAAGGCCTCGTCGTTAGTGGCATAAAGCAGATAAAAGTTTAATTTAAATACTGATATACACTCTACTCAATGGAAACCTATGCTGTGCCAATGAAGAAGGATGTGACAAAAAGAGTTATCGGTCTGTTACCATTAGACAGATCACGTTTCACCAGGTACGACTTTACACACGTTCTATATGCACTTAAGATGATGTATACTAAAAACAAACAAATTGATACTAACTGAAAATCATGTGCTTAGAACGATTATGAAAAGGTCCTAAACTTACTGGCTGTTAATGGCTGACCATTGAAATACCACTCAGTAGTCATTGTGAAGTCATTTACTGGAGTTATCTGGGCTTCAAAATGGGCAAAACCTCCTTCCTGTAAATTGTCTAAGTTGTTTAAAGGTTTGGTGAAAACAGGCTTAGCTGCACATATAGATTCATCAACTGATTCGTGACGTTTATAACGTTCCCAATCTTCCAACTGCTGGATTGCTTCCCAACTTTCTGGGTGTTGAACTGTACTTTCTATTACAGCACGAGCTGTGAAAGGAAAGTTAGTTTTATTTCCTGGAAAGTTATTAAGTGGTCTTGATAAATATAATGATATGTATGTTACTTAACCTTCAAAAATCCAAATTGTCTTGAATAAATATAATAACATGTACGTTACTTAACCTTCAAAAATTACGATATATGTTTTTTTACAATTTGGGTTTTTGAAGGTTAAGTAACATACATGTCATTATATCTATTTAAGATTATTTGGATTTTTGAAGGTTAACTAACGTACATGTTATTATATTTATTCAAGATTATCTGGATTTTTGACGGTTAAGTAATATACATGTTATTATATTTATTCAAGATTATCTGGATTTTTGAAGGTTAAGTAATATACATGTCATTATATTTATTCAAGATTATCTGGATTTTTGAAGGTTAAGTAATATACATGTCATTATATTAATTCAAGACAATTTGGATTTTTTTGAAGGTTAAGTAACATACATGTCATTATATCTATTCAAGACAATTTGTATTTTTGAAGGTTAAGTAACGTACATGTCATTATATTTATTCAAGATTATTTGTATTTTTGAAGGTTAAGTAACGTACATGTCATTATATTTATTCAAGATTATTTGTTTTTTAGAATACAGCCTGTATAAAATACCGTAGTTTATCGCTTTATGTATACATTTTGTCTTCTTTTTATATCCCAACAAAGTTCACCCTTCATTGCTATGACTGACGTTATCAAAGAGCTTTTAAAGATGGCTCGTTATTTCTTTATTAAATGTTCAGAAACACATTCAGTTTGAATTAAAATCTCATATTTTGAAATTAAACTACTCCTGTAGCTTTATTAATATTATTCAAAGTCTGAGAAACACGAGTTTTATATATATATATAATATTGTCTTTAAAACAAGAAAGCGGGATATTTTTTTTTTTGTGTGAATTGACTAACTTACGGCTCACATGAAGTGTTGCTGTAGTAATAGCTTCTCCTACGATGTTCTTTGCCTGGCACTGGTAAGTACCTGAATCTTCACTGTTAACGTGTAGCAGTGTGAGTGCAACATAGCCAAACCTATCAATGGTCATCGCCCTGGAACCTGAAAAAGACACGTTAATGTCACAATACCTGAATTACGAAGCCTAAAGACAATGACAGGGATATTCAAAATTTTAATATATAACTTCATAGTACTAAGTGTGAGCAATATAATGGTTAAAAAAGTTTACAAACAAGAGGGAATCCTCAATAGCCGTGGCACTTGAAATTCTTTTAGGCAGGATTAGAGTAAATTAATCTATGAGACTTTTTTTTTTCTTCTTTTTTATTAGCCATATTTTTGTGCGCCAGCAATACCAAGCGTGGGACGCGCGTATACCCGATTCTCTTAGGCAGGATTAGAGTAAATTAAGCTATGAGACTTTGGGCGTTATCAAATACATCAGTCGAAAGGATTTGACCTCCAGAGTCCAAAACGGTAATTAGATCTCAAATCGGTCAACAGATGGCGGAGCTGTGAGCAAAAGTTTGTACTTGAACAAAAGAATCAGAGCCATTCTATGAGCCGTTATGCCGTGGCTAAAAAGTCAGAACGAATAAAAATTGACTAAACATCTGAAACCCGTAAAGTCAGGTTTTATTCGTTTTGACTTTCAATAAATTTATGTGCACCTTTTAAACATTGAGTTGCTTATGTTTCACGACAAAGATGCTTGAATGGTACTTGTATGTTACAATTTCACGAAAAAAAACCTCAAAATGTCTTATTTCTTAAACTTGAAGTCGTTGAAGAATAAAAATACCTTAAAACGTGTATCTTGAAAATGGCGCGAAAATTACACAAACAGTGGTTTTCTTTAGAGCAAAAGAAATGACAAATATTATTTAACAGTAAGGATAACTTTTAAAAAAATATATTTAATTTGCCATAATTGGGTTTTAAAATAATCCATGAATGAATATTAAAATGAAAATGGTTTCAAAACGTAATTTGTTGAATATAAAATTTATACAACTGTTTTATTTATATCATACTAAACTTCCTTTTTTATTTATAACAGTAATGTCAAACTAAACCCCCCACCCCACCCACCCTCATCACGACCTTAGTCCCATCGAATTAGGAGTCGGGCCGATATTTATTTTATTTTTTAATAAGCCAGACATTTTTATATTGGTGGCTGGCGCAGTCAGCAACCATATAGGACGAGAATGTTCGGTGACGGGGAATCGAACTCGTGACCCTCAGATTGCGAGCGGAGCACCCTAACCACCAGGATATGCAAGGCTCAATATTTAATAATAGAGATCGATGTTCTATATTTTTCTAATTATGATGCTAGGGCGAGTGCTTAGACCTTACATGCCCATTTTTCCACCAGCGGTGATGTCCTATGTGATATACCTCGTTATGAGGGCTTCTGCGCAATACACTGATGCCACTGTTTGTCTCTCCTCCTCTTTACTTGCTCTCTAAAGTTCACCAACTGTTCATGGTTAACTACTTTCGAGTACATTTGAGCAATCCAGAGACACAGTAGTCCATGTGGGATGCACAGGTTTGTAGGAAGTGGGAGAACACTTATTCCCGTTTCTACTTGTGTCATTCAGAGAAACAGCAATGTTGACTTGGAGGTATACCTCATTAGCACCCAGTCCATACAAAGATGGTATTTCGTTGTGATGTAGTGGTGGTGCTAACACGTCAGTCAGGAAGTATGCTAACATGTCAGTCAGGAAGTATGCAGAGCTCACATTGGCAATTTTTCTCTATTCTCCACATTATTATAGCTGTGTTCTGCAACCATCTTAAATCCCTTGGAAAACCTTTCGCGACATATTCTGTACCATTTTTGAAATGCTATATCACCTGTAGAATGGTAGTAGGTTCCTCGTGCTTTTGTATGCACATAAGCAGACTTATGCTTCGTCCAATGTGATAACTATTTGATTGTGTTCTTTGAAAAAAAGTTGTGAATATCGTTCTTAAGTCGCTTCTTTAGGCCTAAATTCGTTAAGTTATTTTCTTGTTTATTGTTCTAAAGGAAATTACTATTTTAGTTACAGAGAACGGTTATAATATTGGGCTATTTCCGGTCACAAGTTCTTTAACTTGCTTCACTACCTCCAGTGTACGACTGGTAGCCCATCGTGGAGTAGCCTGTTTTGTTGTAATCACGCCTCTTTTGCTTTGCCAATACGGCGCACATCTACTGATATTTCTTTCTTCGAAACTCTAAAGTTTATTACTTTGCATACTTTTCTAATCGTTTAATAAAAAAGTTAATATTACCATCTAGGAAAGTCTTAATTTCAAGCACAATCTGCACTGGCAAGTAAACACACTTCAACTGAATCGCAACAAGACGTTTAACCTGGTGGTCACAGTCTACGAGGATGGCTAGAAGTAAGATGATTGAATATGGAACTGTAACTAAGGGTTGTGAACAACCCTCCGTATTACAGACAACGGTTATCAAAGGAAATTAGTTTCACTAGGAATACGTTCAGCAAATGACTGGGTAGCTTTCTGCGGCCACTTTGGTGTCCTACAAACTATTAATTCTCAGATTAAATACTTTATATATTAGGCCTAAAGAGAAAAATGATTTTTTTGGTATTTTACAAGCAGGATCCTCTTGAGATGTGTCCATTAAAGTGTGGGTAAAGTATTGAAGAAGGAAATACATTTCTTGTTGTGATCTCTCAACACATATCTCAGTTCAATGAGACCAAAATCATTTAATGGGTGCATAATTGGAACACTACATGTATATATTTAGAAATAAAAGATCTAAAATTAGAGACTTTTGGTTTTCCTTCGGTAGTATTCCATGAAGATTATAGATTCACAATAAAATAAAGTCTTTTTGTTTGTATCTATAATAAAAATATTAGTTGCTCGTACTATTGAACACAATATCTTATGCTTTGTTTTTAATTGGGTGAATTGGTCAGCAGAGTTTGACTAGAGATTGATGACGAGATTTTAAAGGTGACAAAACGTCAAATGAATTGAGCTAAAACCTCGTAGACTGTGCCAGATATAAAACCATTGACAATATATTCATTAAATAAAAAAACGTCGAACTAAGAACTTGCTAGATAAGGAGGAGAACACTAGAACCTGAAAAGTATTTGTTAGCAATATTAGTTGCTAACAAATATTCACACGAAGAAAATAATTGAGATACGGTGTTATATGGTTAACTAATAAGGAATATTGAAAACATTTGTATTCAGTTATCATGTTAAATGGTACACTAACCTATTTTAACTCACTTTTATAAATGGAGTAGTTAAAGTAATTTCACTCATGACACACAGTTACAACATTACATATATTTAATGTATTTTAATGTAAATGTGCAATCATCGTTTAAGTACACACATATTATTATTATTTATCGTTATAAATAAACTCACTTGCTTCTAACAGTCTTCCATTCACAAACCACTCTATCTTCATAGTGGGGTCACCAATAGGGATGAGTCGAGCCTCAAAACTCGCGCGTTCTCCTTCTTCCAGATGTAAATTTCTAAGATGCGTCATAAATTCGGGTTTCTGAGTTGGCCTTGAGTCCTCCTCATGAGGCACGTGAGGATGGGAACGCTCAATATGACGTAACCAGATAGTCTCCCGGGGTGGGGAACCTCTACAAGGCAGTGAAGGTACAATCATGTGAAAAGTCTGCTTGGAAACTGTTGTCAGACATTTCAAACACTATTAATCAAACAGTAAGATATATTGCACATTTAATATGGTGAGATCACATGTGATTTCCTA